AATAATATAGGTTTCTTAGTTTTTGGTTAATTTACATTGATTTAGATAGTTTATTTTACATGTCTTGATCATTTGAACAATGTGGCAGGAATCCCCAAGCTTATTTTGAAGAATTATTGGATTTTGAGGAATTTGAGGTGAAAGTAACTACTTTCAAGATTGATAGTGACAACTACAGCAAGCCATTTCCAGCAAAGGGACCAAAGTGATCACTTTCAAAGCTTAAAGTGACAACTACAGCAGCCCAGAATCCACTAAACCTGCGTGTGGTTACTATGATCTTTCCTAGTAATCACTCCAGAGCATGCAGAATTGAAGGTGTTGCGCGTAGTTACTATCAAAATTCATAGTGACAACTCCAAAGAGTTCAAAATGTCCCAGTGCTGCACGTAGTTACTATGAATATTCATAGTAATCACTCCAGAGAGGAAAAACCCAATTGATGCTGCGCGTGTTTACTATGAAAGAATGAAAGTAATTACTTTGGGCGGCGCCAGCTTTAGTATAAATAGATTTTTGCCAAATTAGGGTAGGGAGTTCTTACACTTTTTACACCTTTTCTCTTCCTTACTAAATTAGGATGATTTTCCAGAGCTTAGGGCAACCTTGGGTGACAGCTAAGGGTCCAACCTAGAGTTTGGTTTCTCATTTCTCTTGCTTTTACATTAATGTTAATGAGTTTTCTGCATTTCCAACTTTCGTTTTTGACCCCCATTTCTATGGAGGGTTAAATTTTATGTAATCCTTGGTGAGTTCACATGGATTCTTGAGTTCCTTGATTTTAATGATAATATAATTCCTTTCTTCTCATGAATTACTTCTTCCTTGTCTCTTGAATTGAATTAATGGTGAATGAAGGGGATATTGCTTAATTAACCCTAATTCATTTTAAGGAGATTCTAAACTAGGGATTGCTTAATCCTAGGTTTAATTCTAAGGTTGCATAACTTTGGGATGAGGGATTAGAGCCTAGCAAATTGCGTAATCTCGTTAGGACCATAAGGTTGATTTTCGCTTGTTAAATTAACCTAATTCATGGGAGAGAGGATGAATATTAAATCTTAAGTGGAATGAGGATAGAATATTTGTGGATGAACTAAGGATTGCTGCTTTCTATTGTTTGAATTAATTAAACTTGTTTGCTTGTTGTTCTTTACATTGTTTTGAAACCACAAAACACCCATTTTAATTGCTTGTTCAATTATTTCCTTCAACATGTTTAATGAAGATTAATAGCCAATGTTCACGGGAGACAATCTAGGGTAACCCTAGTACTACATTAATTTGTTTAAATTTTGTGAGGATTTGCGACAAATCTTTTAAACACCTCAAGGAAAAAAAACACCATCATCAAATTGGCGCCGTTGCCGGGGAATATTGGTGTTGATTTTTCATAAACATGTTATTTGCTCTATTTTCATTTTTGTTTTTTTGCATATTTAGTGAATTCTCTTTGAACTTTTGCATTGTGAATACTTTAGTATAGTTGTAGTTGCATAGATAAGTAAAGATATTTTGCATTTAGGTACAACCAATTCCTGTTTTCTGCATATGGTTTGAATTCTAACTTCTGCAATTTAGTTTACCACACTGCATTTTCGTTTGCTCCACTATACCCTATTTTTGCTGCATAATTCTACAGAATTCTGCAAAACTTGTGCTTGTGTGTTGCATATTTTTGTTCCATAGTTTGCAATTTCTTTCTGTTTTTGCTGTTTAGTGTTAATGCTTTATTTTACTGCACTTTGATGTTAGTTTTCTGCATAATTGTAATCTGAATTTTTCTGCATTTTTACTGCTACATTAGTTTATTTCTTTTCAATTTTTCATAGCTAATTCCTAATGAATGACCAGATCAAATCCAGGAGATTTATATCCTCCAGATACTGAAATTGATAGGACATTCCATAGGAATCTTAGGAACCTTAATAGACAAAACTCTGCACATACTGAGGAACCTTTTTCACCATTTTCTCCATCTTCTATATATTCTTCTCTGCATTCTTTAAATTTTGAACCTTTAGAAATAGCAGAAAATGACCTGACACTAAAGAAGCTTGCCGCGCCGGACGTGACTTACCAGACTTTGTGTATCCAATACCCAGATGTGGATGCCCTTTTGTTCTTAAAACTGGCCTAATCCATCTTTTGCCTAAATTTCATGGTCTTGCAGGTGAAGATCCACATAAACACCTCAAGGAATTTCATATTGTTTGCTCTACAATGAGACCACAAGGTGTGCCTGAAGAGCGTGTGAAATTAAAGGCTTTTCCATTCTCTCTTATGGATTTGGCTAAAGATTGGTTGTATTATCTTCCACCTGACTCTATTACAAGTTAGGACACTCTCAAGAGATTGTTCCTGGAAAAAATTTTCCCTGCCTCAATAAGAAAGGAAATATGTGGTATTAGGCAGCTAGAGAGGAAAAATTTGTATGAATATTGGAAGCGTTTCAAGAGACTTTGTGCTAGCTGCCCCCATCATCAAATAAGTGACCAGCTCCAAACCCAATACTTCTATGAGGGCTTACACCAAATGGATAGGAGCATGATTGACGCAGCTAGTGGGGGAGCCCTAGTTGACAAGACTCCCGCTGCCGCTAGAAACCTCATTGAGAATATGGCAGCTAACTCTCAACAGTTTGCTACAAGGCAAAATTCCATCATATCCAGGAGTGTCAATAAAATTCAAACTTCAGATTCACACAAGCTGGAGCATAAGCTAGATGAGTTGGCTTTTATGGTAAAACAGTTGGCATCCATCCAAAAGAATTTTGCTGCATATACACCTCCACCTCCATCCATTCCAGCCATGCTTTGTGGGATTTCTTCATCTACGGATCACTTCGCTGATAATTGCCCCACATTGCAAGAAACTGAATCTTCAGAAGGTAATCCTTAAGCTTATGCTACTAATATTTATGCTAATAAATTTCCTTTTCAGCAGCCGCAGCAACAACAAAGCTGGGATTTATCTTCTAATAGATATAATCCCGGTTGGAGGAACCATCCTAACTTAAGGTGGGGAGGAAATGCACAGATCAAAGCTCTAGCCAACCAACCAACAACCATTTCCAACCGTATCAAGCTAGACAAATTAAGCCATATTAAGCCCAGCAACATCACCATTCATCATCTTCATCTCAGCTGCACCATCAAGCATCTTCTTCACTAGCTCCTGCACCCCAAAAGAGTGAGTCATCCTTGGAAGACCTTGTGAAGCAACTCACTATGAATAATCTCAATTTCCAGCAACAGAGTCAGGCTTTCCAACAACAGACTTAAGCAAGTATTAAGACCTTGGAGAATCAAATGGGTCAACTTGCTTCATCCCTGAATCAACTTCAATCTCAAGGTTCAGGCAATCTCCCTGCACAAACGGTAACAAACCCAAAGAATGTGAGTGCCATTACCTTGAGATCTGGTAAGGTGATGCAAGAGCCAGAAATGCCTAAAGAGAAGGATCCTAGTTGCACTTTAGCTGCAGAAGGTGAAGAAGGAGAAGTTGGAAGCCAAGAGCAGCCTGCACCTATGCCCACACCATGTCAACCAAAAGTGGTAGACAAAGAAGAGAGGTCCATTCCTATTCCCTTCCCTCAAAGAATGGTTCAGCCCAACAAGAAGCAAGAAGAGGTTGATAAAGAAATTCTGGATACTTTCAGAAAGGTTGAAGTCAATATCCCCTTGTTAGATGCTATCAAGCAAATCCCAAAGTACGCCAAATTCCTTAAGGACTTGTGCACTCATAGAAGGCGACTAAAGGGTAATGAAAGAGTGAACATAGGGAGGAATGTATTAGCCCTTTTTGAGAGGCCAAAAAACTTCCATGCCTGAGAAATGCAAAGATCCAGGGACGTTTACTATTCCCTGTATTATAGGCAACAATAGGATAGATAATGCCATGCTTGATTTAGGTGCATCTATTAATGTTATGCCTTTATCTATCTTCACATCTTTGTCTCTTGGACCATTGCAGCCCACAGGTGTCATCATTCAGCTAGCAAATAGGAGCACCACTAATCCAGCCGGCCTTATGGAGGATGTTCTAGTAAGAGTGAATGACTTGATCTTTCCTGCTGACTTTTACATCTTGGACATGCAAGAAGAAGAGTCAATAAAAGGAGTTGCACCAATCATCTTGGGGAGGCCATTCTTGAAGACAGCCAGGACCAAAATTGATGTGTATGCTGGAACTCTTACTATGGAGTTTTGAGAGAGTGTGGTTCGCTTCAACATACTAGATGCTATGAAGCACTCACCTGAGGAGCATTCAATTTTCCATATTGATGTTCTTGATAGCTTGATAGATGATAGTTTTGTTGAATTTTTAGGAGACTCTTTCGTTGATTTTTCTGATTGTGTAGATACCATAAATACTAAAATTTGTGAATATTGTACTAATTCATCTTTGTGTGATATTTGTATTGCTGATTTTCTGGATTTAGATTCTGCAACTTCTGACATTAATGACATTGAAAAATCAAAAGGGATAGAATGTGGTTCATTGAG